AAAATTGCAGCTTTTTGTTGTTGTTGTTGATAGGGATATTAAAAAAAAAAAAAAAAAAGAGAGAATGTAAAAACTTAGTTCATGCTTCAGGCTCGGTAAGTAATTCCAACTTCAAGGAGAAACCTGTGGAGTAAGTTCCCTGATGTCTGGTGTTTGCAGAGAGCTTGGCACAGCGATGTCACAGTGTTTGCAGGAAGCAGGCTGGGTCACTGCTTTGCTTCTGCTGTGCTGAGGAAGAATGGTTAAGATTCCTGAGCTGAGAACACTGCTTGCTGTCTGCATAGGAAAACAACAACAATGCTATATGATTTGGTGACAAAACCTGTCAATATTAACAGCATATCTTTACTTTGGTGCAGCAATAAGACCTGATTTAAGGCAGGGAAACCCTTGTGAGGCTTTAAAGAGGAGCCATTATAGAAAGCCCATCTGCAGTTTGGCAGTGTTGCAAAGGCATTACATAGCTGGGTACAAAGAAAAGTCATTTCGGCAGTCCACTGAGCATGACTTAGTGTTTTCAGAGCTGAAAAAAAGCTTATTGTGTTTGCTTCTTCCTTGGCTTATATTCCCTCTTATGTGGGATTCTGGTGCCTATATATCCTTGTTTTAGAGGATTCCGATGCTAGTGCTTATGGTTTGAAGGCTTCATTAGTCTGAGAACACAAATGTTGGCAGACTACATAGAAGGAGCTGTGCCTATACATACAGGGCAGTTTGATTCTTCATTATCAGCTCTCTTGGCACTGAACAAGTCCGAAAATAAACAGCACATTGATTTGGTTTAACTTGGTAACATATGGAGGTTACTTTTGTGTTTGTGAAAGAAAACAAGTAGTAGATACAAAATGAATCCTGCTATTGACTACTCTAAAAGTAAGCCAGAAGGAACAGAGCAGTGTGTTGTGGTCTAGAGTCATGCCTTGTGCATGTCTGTAACACGGCCAAGCCAGGCTCTGAAGATGCAGTGTCTGCTGAACTCAGCAGAAAGATGCCCTAAGGAGGTGATGGTGTCTGGAGCTTAAGGCTGTCTTGCTGTTACCCCAAAGCTCTGTGTCCTCTTTACTCTCCAGCAATGCATTTGCTCACTATTTCACCTTTAAATATTTGAAAGAGGATTTTTAAAATTAAAAACTATGTGAAGATTAAGTGTTTAAAGGAAGCAACCATAGACAGGTGGAAAGGTGTCTAGGGGAAAAGATGAGGAGAATCTAAGGGAAAGAAGGCAGAGGAGGCTGTAGTTGCTTTGAGAAAGGCTTCCTTTTGAGGATTTGAGCATGTGGAGGTATATTAAAAAAAAGGAAATGAATGCAGAAGTATTTTTTGAAGTCATGGCTGGGGATTGACTGTTGATCCTTCCACAAAGGAACTTCTTTGGACGGCTTTTATTGTAAGAAGTTATGTAGTTGGGGAGCTTTGGAGTCAGCATTCGTGCATCAAGGAAAGTTTGAGGTAGCAAACAAGGCTCCATCCTCATAAAATGTAATGACTCAGAAGGGACAGCAGCAGAAATTATTCCCTGTGAGGATCAGCGTTACTCAGCATTGTGTGACTGCTAAATCAGTTCCCTGACACTGCTTTCAGAGACCTGCTGGCAAAGGCTCGAGCCAGAGATGGCTCTGCACAGCCTGTCAATGAGAGGAATGGTTTGGGAGGCAATATATGCTAGAGCTCACTGAAAGATGACAGCACATTCCAGTTGGGGGTGTATTTCTAAAGCTGATGTGTGAGGTCCAGCCCATAACAGCAGAGAAAGGCAGTGATTACAGACTCAATGTTTTGAACTTTGTTCTGTTTGCATATGATTAATAGTTCAGCCTCGTCACAGTGAACCAGCAGATTACATGCACCAGCACATGAACTAGAAGAATCCTGACAGTTATGTTCAGTTGGCCTAAATTAGCAAAAGTCAATTAATATAATTGAGGTCTGCTGCTTTATTCTCACCTGTAGTATAATTGTAATGTACCTTCAAGTAACAGAAAATTAGAAACATTTCCTCCATTTATTTCATAATGTAATTGCTAGTATGTTTGTTAAATAACTGAAATAGACTCAATTATTCTATTTGAACTCCATCTGTAAGCAATGACAGGTTTTCTGAATCAGATTCATAAAGTGGCTGTGATAGCTTTTGTTAAGCCATGAAATGAGACATTCAGACAACATGAATCACTCTGCAACTTGGTAACATGAAATAATGAAGTGGTGAAATGCTCTTAGCACCCTACAAATTGATTATAATGGCAGTACATGGCCTACATTGGAAATTGCTTAATGGAATGCTTTGGGTAGGTTTAATTTGCTTGGGAAGTTGCTCAGATGTTATTGGATTGTACTGAGAGGAAAGTTTTGGTCAAAAACTTTGAAAGAACTTCATGAGAATCCTTATTAATCCTTGATCCTTACTGTCCTTGATGCTGTTAGTAAGGTGGTCCAGTTTGAGCTTGAAAAACACAGCCCCTGCACTGATGCAGTTCTGCAAGATTAAACCATTGGCTTGGATGAGTGACAGAAACTAAGCATTCATCACCTCTACCTTGTCATATATCAGCAGGGCTTATAAAAGGCAAACCAACCAACCAAAACAGCCCTGGTTTACTATTTAACTGAAGAACTGCCTCACTGCTGTTTGCCTTCCCGTGGAATTACTGTGTACACCCAATGCAAATGCAATGCTCCTTGTGCATCCTTGCACCAGTTTCCACCACAGAAAGGAAACCATCCAGTGAGTGCCTTCAGAGTGGGGAGCTGGCCTGGACTCAGTGCCTGAGGAGACAGGTTTGCCTATTGGCAAGGTATCTTCAGTAGCTAGCAACATGTTTTCCTCTTTTTCAGTGAAGATTAAGAATTTGTTCTTCTGTCAGGGAGATGAGGTACAAATTGCTTTCTGTGTTTAGCCTAAGTCTTAATAGTTGTTTTGGGCGGGTTCAGGTAAACAGCTCCCATACACAGACTGAACAAAGGAGAGAACAAACAGTGCCATAGCAGCAACATGAAAGCTCCCAAAAGAGAAATCAGTCTTTTTCAGAGAGGCTTTAATTTTATTTTGTAATGAGATCAGAACAAAAACTATCTATGTCTGCTGTTGTTGGGCAGAAAGAAAAAAAAAGAACAACTGATAAAGTGCAGAAACAAACACGAATAATTTTAGTCATGTCAGTGAAAGTATTTCTAGCAGAAAATAGTTGGCTCTATGGGATGTCTCAGGTGGCGTTCTGGCTGTTTGTTCAGTACGCTCACTGTCTATGGCAGTGCTTTCACCAAGCATTTCTGCAGGCAGGTATTCCACGTTTCTTCTTTCTGTGTAATGATAAATCATAAAATCACAGAATGGTTTTAGTTGGAAGGGACGTTATCTAGTTCCAGCCCCCCCTACTATAAGCAGGGACCAGGTTGCTCACAGTCCCATCCAGCCTGGCCTTGAATGCTTCCAGGGAGGGAGCATCCACAGCGTCGCTGGGCAGCCTGTTCAGTGTCTCACCACTCTCATAGTAACGAATTTGTTTCTAACATCTAGTCTAAATTTACCCTCTGACAGTTTAAAGCCATTTCACCTTGTCCTGTTGCTATCTGCCCTTACAGAAAGTCCCTCCCCAGCTTTCCTGTAGGCCCCCTCAGGAATGAGCAGGCTGCTATAAGGTATTCCTGGAGCCTTGTCTTCTATAGGCTGAAGAGCCCGAGCTCTCTCAGCCTGTCCTCATAGGAGAGGTGCTCCAGCCCTCTGATCATCTTCACTGACCTCCTCTGCTCCAACAGCTCCACATCCTTCTTGCATTGGGGCTCCAGAACTGGACGCAGTGCTCCAGGTGGGGTGTCAGGAGAGCAGAGCAGATGGGCAGAATCACCTCCCTCAACCTGCTGGTCACACTTCTCTTGATGCAACCCAGGATGCAGTTGGCCTTCTGGGCTGCAAACTCATGCTGCCGGCTCATGTTGGCTCTTTCATCAATCGACACTCCCAAATCCTTCTCCTCAGGCCTGCTCTCAAGCCATTCTCTGTCCAGCCTGTATTTGTGTGCTTGGTATTGCTCTGAGCCAGATGCAGGACCTTGCGCTTGGCCTTGTTGGCCTTCATGAGGTTGGCATGGGTCCACCTCTCCAGCCTGTCCAGGTCACTCTGGATGGCTGCCCTTCCAGCATGTCAACTGCACCACTCAGCTTGGTGTCATCTGCAAGCTTGCTGAGGGTGCATTAATACTGAGTATTGCACAGTTCAGGTGGTTAGAAGTAGGAGAGCAAGAACTGCTCTACTGTTTGTTATACTTGGTCAGATTTTAATGTAATAACTCCCAGGTTTAGTGGGAAATGAAGGATTTTACCATGTATCATGCATGACTGCTGTGAATCCAGTCCCTATTGAGTATTTTTTCCTATCCATCTTATTCTACTTTTCTTTAATGTCAGAAATGTTAAGTAGGGGAACATGTGGGACTGTATGAAGTTGTGATGTCTGTCAGTCGTGCTTAATTCTTCTTGGGTTTCTGGTCTCATACTAGGGCTAGTCTTACAGGGATGCCCAAAAATAATGGGGGCTAGAGTGGAAGCATGTTCTCAGGGTTAATTCAGGTCATCTCTCTGGAGCCAATTCCTTATGCATATAAATATTGTTAAGTAACACAGGCATATATATTTCATTAAGTAAAAGTTGCTCACGTGTATGGGTAAAGCTGGTTGGCACTGAAGCAGTCGAAGGAAATTTATTCGGAATGAAACGTTCCATAAAAATTTAAGAGGAACCACTGATCTTTCTGTAGATGCATGAGAACATCAGACATATTCTGCCATTGTCCAAAACCCTTGGGCCAAATCCTCCATGTTAATTAAATGTATCTGGATGAAGTTATACATTCATTCAGATTATTGCTTTACACTACTGAGTAAGTTTTACCAATGCAGTAATTGAAATGTGCTTTGTTGCCTAGGATTTCTGCTACAAAATCCGTCCTACTGAAACCTGACCTAACACAGAGAAAAACTACCAACCCAGGTATGAACATCGATTTTTCCCTCGGATCACGAAGTGCACAAAGTCTTTTAATTCATATTTTCCAGCAGTTCTATATATTGTGAACGGCTTCAGAAGCATCCGTCTGTGCCAGGACAGAGTTCATTTTCCATCCTGTGCTTTATTAAATGTGAGAAGCACACTAGAAATGCCTGGGTGATAAGAGGATGCACTTTTTATCTGCCTGGAGCCTGACTGACATCTCCGAACGCTGTTACATCTAAACAGCTTGAATATGTGACCTCATTCCTTAAATACCATCACTTGAACAGCTCTTGTTGCTAAAATAAAAGCACTGTTGATTCTCTGTTGTGAGAACTCCTACAGACCCTCTGACAAGCACCAACTAGACGGTACCTTTTTTCACTGTGATGCAGATGATTGCTTGGCTGTAGGAACTGCAGCGTTACCTGTAGCAGCAATTACAGCAAAGGCACTGCTTGCGGTTTTGATGGCACTCGCTTGTGTTACCATCCAACTGTCACACAAATCTCTGCCACGTGGAGCAGGATTGGGAAACAGACCACAAGGAACATGAGCCTGGAAAGGTAAAGTGGCAGAATAACTTTGTTTTCTTATACTGATGAGCAGTTTGTTAATTCATAGCGTAGACCTTCACTGAGGGAAGACTGCAGTTGAGCCAGACTATCCAGTAAGATGAGACCAGGATCAGCTTTCTCATTTTCTGCTGTCTTTTAATGCTCTGAAATAAGCTTTCTGCAATGTAGGCCCTTATCAGTGCTTTGTGAAGTATAAGCAGGATTTTAAAAACCCAAGCAGTGCCCTCTAATTCAAGCACAACTCCGTGCCTCTCAGGAAACAATGCTTGTGTGGAGGAGCCCAACTTTTGCTGGGAAGCAGAAGGATGGGCTGGATAAAAAGCTTAATTTTTCTAATTTTTATCTATAAAAACCATTTTTGTGGAGCAGTGTGCAAACTCCCTGCAAGCTAAACCAAAGAGAAAAGAACTCTCATTTTAGGGAATATATTTGCTGTTTGAACAATCTTTTTGTTAGCCTGAGCAAGTTATTTCAGATAGCATTCCAAAACAGTATTGTGGCTACCGACTTGCATACAGCTGTGTTGCTGATGCATTTAGGACTACAGGGGTAAACTCTGTGCCTTGTTATTCTTTGTTACTATACTGAGGTAAGTGTCCCAAAGGCCAAAGGGACCAGAGGGTGGGAAGGACATTCAGGTAACTGACACGTCTTTATTGTAATCTAGACCTCTTGCAAAAGCTGACTGTAACTTGCTTTAAATTGCTCAATGCAATCTAGCTGCTAGTTAGCTGAGCAGATTTGGATACCTGCTGGTGAGACAACAGGGACTCAGACAAGCTTGGCTGGTACTTGGGAAGGTGAGGGAATTGCTGCATTGGAGAAGGCGCTCAGGCTGAGATTCCACAAGGCTTTAAAGGTCAAGAGGAAGCACCTTGAGGCCAATATTGAATGTGGTTGGCAACCAGGGCAACTAAGCCACTGAGGGAGTTATGTGCTTACTCTGCCTGCTGCCAACAAAACTCCTGACAGCGTCTTTTTGTGGTAGATGAAGTCTATTAATTCTGCATGCATACACATCAGCAGAAAGGATCTAGCATTACTCTGATCTAAATGGAACAAAACGTGGATGTGAAGGACAGTCACATCCGAATGAGGCAAGGAAGTGTATTGGCAGTATTCCCAAAAACAGTGGGGAAACACTTCACTCCCATGAAGCCGCATCATGGGCCGGACTGCAGCTAGATTCCTAGGGCTGAGAAGGAGCAGTATGAGACCTTTTACAATAGATGCAGAGTTCAAATTGTGTCTAATTTTCTCTGATCAGATTACATACATACATCTGCAGACTTCTTAACACTGCAGACAGACGACTTGGGTGCACTGACAGCGCACAGAAGTGGCAGACGGAATAGAGGTGATGATTTTTAATTACATCTTTTTGATTTTAGCAAATGAAAGAAAATCGAGCTTCCTGATGATTTTATTAGATCCGTAAGTGAAAAGTGTACAGATTGAAGGAAAGATGACAATTTGCAGTATTAGAAGAGAAATTAAAGGTAAAACTGTGAGAAAACCCACAAAGAACGATTTAATGAAGTGGTTAAAGCCATTGTAGAACACAAACTGTTTCTAATTGGAAACATCGGACAGTTTCATCTTTCTCTCCAATGTTCAGAGGAAATGAAATACCCCGTCGTATAAAAAGCAGCTGGGACACAGGGAGAATGGCTCTTCTATCAGTGCTCTGTAAGAGGTCAATGACAATTTTAATTGATGCTATTTCGGTTCTAGTGGTATGGCTGATAACTAGAATAGAAATATCCGAACTGCCTGTTCTTACAAATACGTGGACTTTATTCAGGAGGATCTTCAGCTGAGAAACAAGTACAAAAATCAGATGAAATCCGCTGATACAAGAGAATGAATGCAATTAGAGTTTGTTCTATGGGTACAACCCATTTCATCAGTTTCTGAAAAATACAGAGACTGTCAGCACTCACTTACGCAAGTTAATAGCAAAGCCAGACAGCAGACACCTCACATCACTCTAAAACTAGCAGGCAGTTCTTAAAATAACTGAATAAATTGTAAGTTACAATTGCTTTAAAGTTTGTTTTCATGCATTTTAGACTTTACAGAGCCCTTTTATGGCTTGTTCTTTGTCAGCCTTGAGATCACAGCATGGTCCTACTAAATCCATTTCTTGATTTCTTTGGTGTCAGTGTTGCATACCAAAACAAATAGCAACTGGATTGCTAAAGTAGTGGGAATATGTTTTCAAGTCTGAACAATAGCAGTATTCCCAGTTTGCTTTTGCTTTTTCAAATACAAAGAGTAAGAATGCTGTAGAGCATTAGAGACAATAATAGAAAACGGTGCAGCTAATTTTGGAGGTAGAGTGTTTCTACAGTTTATTTGCAAAGAGAACTATTGTCAGTCATTTCAAAAAGAAAAAATCTAGCTGATGGTCTTTGCTGTGGGCTGCAAGGTTGTTGTAGGGCATTGGGAAGTGTGCTTGAGCTTGTGGTGCATGGGAGTGTGAGGAGAGGGTGGGCTTTTGACTTCTCAGGCTAACCATTGGGAATCAGATGGTCCAATGCACATCCATGTTCTGATGATGTATGGTGAATTTGGTATCAGGCTTATGCTGGGACTGCTATTGTAATGCACAGAGATATCCTCTGATGCTATGCTTTTCGTGGAGCCCATGTCTCCCCCAGTTAATTTTGAACTACTTAAGCCCAAGAGCTGCAGGCTGGATTCTCAGCTGCCACGAACTCCCAGCAGTGCTCTGATGTGAGAGAAGCAGCCCGGCTCCATGTGAGCTGCGGAGCTCATCCAATGACTCCGCATGGAAGGCTGATTCTAATGACAGTTCTCTTAAATACACAACACTTTTTAGCCAGGAGCTGATTCTTATCCAGGTTGGTAAAAATTAAGGATCGTTTCACTTTTTCTCGAAGTAAAAACACATGTCCATGACTTCACATATTTCCAGGGTTATCTTTCAAAAACAGAGCAGTCTGCAGATGTCCCTAACTTGTGATTCTGCCACTAAGTGCTGTGGTGGTCTCAGGATGAGGCTGTGCTCCTCCACTGCACAGCTGTGTTGAAGAGCTGCTCCCTTTGGAGAAGTGTGAGGGAGCAGATTTCTGCAGGGCTGCTTCAGCTGGTGATCCCAGTCTCAGACTGATGCAGCAGGGCTCCAGCTCTATCCTCATTATACATCAAACCCTCGTTAGCACTGAGGATTATATTAGCATCGGTAACTTTGTGTTGGGATAAAACCAGTTCCTTCTTCAGGAGTCCTTTCTCCTGCTGCTGCTCACATTCCCACACTCTTGTCAGGTTAGCTCACTCGTGTTTCTTCATCACGTCAGCCTCTGGGTCTGGAGCGGCTGCACTGAAGTCATACTTCCTTCATCTGAAGATCTTATTGCTTGACTTAAATAGCTGCATCTCCTGAACCTCTTGTTTCCTAGTTTAAATACCTTTTGATTATTTTTTTTTCTCAGCTCTGTTGTGCTTTCTACGTTTTAGGTAGAATCTTTTTTCTTTCTAAAATGCTTCCATTACATTAACTTTGTGATGAAGGTTTTGTTTACTATTACAATACATTCACATGTATTTTCAGATTATATTTGTTGGGGCATTTTTTAGCTCATTCTCAGTCTACAAGGAACTTAACCTGTGAGAGCAAAAAAGCAGAGATTCAGACTGGCTATTCACTAAACATGGCTGTTTCAGAATATTGTTTAACAGTGTAATGCCTTCTGATTTTAACAGCATTGTATAATTAGAATGAGCAGAATGGAAGGTCAGGCTTTAAAGACAATCCTCATGCCACTGTAACTACTGCCACTGCATTCACCTTGATCAGACTTGATATTTTAGTCCTCCTGCCTTTAGAAACCCATAAACAACTGCATCATACTGTAGTGAGGCACCAGCTGGTTTTTAGGAATCAGTTTTGAATGAGAGAAAGGAGTGGGGGACAACTTGGACTTAAATGTATATCTACAACAACTGAGTCAAACCAGAAATAAATTCAGTGTGGTAAGGTAACCTGCAGTTAGATTTTTCACTATTTTTCTGCCTCTGCTGTTGGAATAGAAAAGGAGGGTTCTTTTTTTTTTTTTTCCCTAATAATCTCTGCATATTGTGGCTGTGATTCCTTCCAGCCTTTGTCTCCTCATCCTCTCACGTTGCTCTTTCAGAGACCTCAGGACACAGGTTCTGTTTTGTTCTGCCTTCTTTTTGTCCTCCAGCTGATGCTGACTGGCACTGCTCAGCCTGTCCTCCCCTCCAGGCAACAAGGCACAGGGAACTCACAGTTTCTGTACACAAACTCCCACCTTCCCTACCCACCGTTTCACACTCTTCCCCACCAAGCTGTCACTGACGAGCCCCCAGATGCTGAGCTGTGGCATTACACGGCTCCTTGTGAGGAAATGACCTCACTGGGGCACAGGGACAGGAACAGCCAGCCGTTCTTCGTGCTCACTGGATGAGATGGCCATTATTTTTGGAAGAGTGCTACAGGGCTTATGGTGGCGTCTGAGTTTCTGTGTAGCAGCACTGAGAGCACAAATACCCAAACTTATCTCTCGCAGGATCTTGTGGGTTTCTCATCCAAGGATTGCCAAACCCCAAACCCGCCCACAGTGTCAAATCCCATGTGATGCTGCCCCGGGTGATATGGCAACGCACACTGCATAAACGTATTCCACATGTCTGTTTGTTGCCAGTACTCAGGATTTAAAAACCAATTAGCCATGTGCAGACACGCAGCCCGGCGTGGAGCTGCATACGTGGAAACGAAATGGTTCTGTGAGTTCTGAGCACAGCGATTCTCCTCAACTTCAAACTGTGTGGGTTCCCAGCACCTCTGCAGCCGTGCTCTCGGCTGACATGTTTGGCCTATCTGCGGAGTTGTGAGAAGTCTGATTTTAAAAGAAAAACATAAACCCAGCCTGGCAGGAGGTATCTGTAATGTCTGTGTATCATACAGGGACTGCCTGGGATTGTGGGTTTCTGTGTTGTGCTCTGTAAACACGAGTTCCTGTAGCCTTTGTCTTAGGTGCTTGCAGCAGAAGGGAGTGCACAGAATTGTGTGCAACTAGCTATACTGTAATACAGAATGCCTGTATAGGCTACACGTCATGATCTACCCACATACCCAAATGTGCCATTATGGGATACTGTTCCTTGCTTGCTGAGGTTCAATTGCTTACCCTTTTTTTTTTTATCTCAATGCATGTATATATGTTTTTTGCTTGCTTGTAGATGTGGTTTGCAAATCCAAGCAAATCCCAAACATCTGCCAGAAAAATCAACTCTCCAATAAAAGCAGGTGGCGCAATGACTGCTGCTTTTCCACTGTCCTCTTTGGTTTGTTGTTGCCTCATTTTTCCAAAACACCCCCACATAACATGTCTTTCATCCACCTGTTGCATTGTGTCTTGTGAACTGTGTGTAGGAGGAGGTAATGACTTCTTAACGTGCCAGGACATTGCATAACCCAGTGAGCCTTGCTTCTTGACAGGGATGCCTCCGCGTTCTGTAACAGCAAACATGAGCCTTCTTAAACAAAATCAAACAGCCCGTCAGGTTCAAGACAGCATACTTAGCTTAGCTGGTTCACACTTGCATATGCATTTATAAATATATAATATATATCTCACACACAATTACAAGTGCATAAATCATTACAGAAAGGAATACTCACGATCTGAACTGAAAATTCCAAGCAGAGAGGTGGACAAAATCCTTAACATAGTTTGTTGAAAAATTATGTCTTTGTAGGATGTCGTTCAGTTGCCATAAAGTGATCTAGAATGTAACAAATATATTATATTATGTGCTTATATGGGGGCACCTGATGTTATTAAAAAGCAGTTCAAATAGCACTTACTATTTCTGAAAACTCTGGGAGATGATCTATCCTGTACTACTTTTAGGAATAATACTGTCATTTTTATTTGGTTGCAGGTGGAAGTATGCTGTAAGAAGTAAGAACTATCCAGTCCTGGGCTGTTTTGGTCTGAGGAAACTAAAGTAAATAGTTTTAGGCAGTGCCAGTATGAGTGCTGATCTTCCTATTCTGTGCAGCAGCAGCTGGAGGTCCTGTCCATTTCAGCATCCTTTTCTGTCTCCTCCCAGCTGTCTTACTTTTGATCACACAGTAGGATGCATAAATTACTTTTACAGATTCAGCATCCTGGGGTGGCCATAGAAATGGATTTTCATATAAAAAGTGCTTTAGATCATGGCAGAGAGGCTGAATCTGCAGAGGTCGTAACCATCCTTGCAGAGAAGCCAGGACATTTTGATGAAGTGTTACATGTCAGAAATATGAAGTGCAGATACAGCTATGTGTCTTATGTCCTTTCTTTTTGCTATGGAAGAAAAATATGTTGCTTCAGATACAGAGTGCAGTACAACTACTGAAGATCTGTCTGAGCTTCAGGCTATAAGAAGGGCTAAACTGAGCCGGGTGAGAAGCAGTGTGACTCCAGCAATAATCTTTGGGGGAAAGTGGCTAAAAGTGGGCTGAGTTTGAGCATTTCTCTTAGGAGTAAAAGGTGAGGTTGGCACTTCCACTGGGTGCTGAAAAAGACCTCACGAGGGACATCATGCCATCCTATTAGTTACACAAGTGTGCCAAAATGGGAGGAAATTGCCTATTTATCATCTGATATTACACAATTTAGCAGAACAGAGGAATTCTTAGGTTTAACAAATAGGAACAAGCAGGCTGTCTTTTCAGGGAAAGGACTTATTGGAAATGGCAATTGGTGGGCCTGTTTTCATTTAATGTTCTAACCAGGATGCTCAGAAAACATTTTTATGCTGTAGAAATACAACATGTATGTCTTATGAACTTATTCTTTCCCGAGATTGTAGTCTAGGCACAAGAAATTGCTAACAGGGTAATGTCAAAAAGCTGTTTGCCGTCACTCAGTGAGGTTGGTTTTACAACACACTGCTCAGCTGAAGCACGACACGATTTTATTCGTTCAGCAGCAGTCTTTGGAAACTGATTTGCCAGGTGACATTCTGGGAAAAAATTAACAAAATTAAGTACGTCATTACTGTTGTGGAGAATCAAAGTTGTAAGCAAAGAAAAATGGGGAAAGAAATACGTTTCTGAGGGTAGGCAAACCTTCCATCTTAGTTCATCTATATTAGCTTCAGAAAGACTGTGCTCCATCAGAGAGACCTGTTCAGTGTTTCTGTGGCACGATGCAAAACTGACAGGAACCCCATCCAACTGATTTAGCTGGATAAATCTTTAAGACTGCTAGTTCTAAATTCTGATTTCATTTACTACACTTCAAGTGGGTAAGATTTGGATGAGAAGCAAATCTTTGACTCTCAAGTCAAACTTATTTTTCCCAATACATCCAGGTATTTCTGCTCCACATATGGTCAGGTTATAATCATTTTCAGTCTCATATATTAAAAATGTTTAGCAGCTTGACTCCATCTGACTGAATAAAAGCAGTTAATTTGCTAACAGCCTGTACTGAAGGATTACTCCTTGAATAGATGTTACATGGTATTCAAGTAGTGAGCTTTTATTGAAATACATTACATGTTTTGTAAGTCACAATGAGAGGACTAAACAAGCAGCTCAGAATAAGTGATGCCTGCATGGCATCCTGCCCTAGAAAACCTGATGAGCCTTGATTTTCTTTCCACAGTAAAATACGTAACCGTTCTCAAGTCCAGATCTTTTCCTTTGCATTTACCCCTTCTCATATATCACATATACCCTTCATTACCCTCATATATCATATATTACCCCTTCATATATATCAGAACTAAATCAGTCTGCAAGATTTACCTTCCATTTTTCTCTGCCCTTGCCAAAGCAGTGGCTGCAGCTAGGTAGTCTTAGCCACAGTTCCTCTGGTGTGGCTCACTTAGAATAAATCCCTGCCTACAACAGTCAGAAACTAGTTCTAAAACCAGTAAAACTAGCAAATTCAGGTTTTTATCGCTTCAGGTCCAAAGGTGCACACTGCTGTTTGCAGTTACTCTACATGCTTCTTATCTTCCTTTTTGGTTTTGCCATCTGGTAGAAGAGAAACATGCTCATAAGAGCTTCATTCTAGCTGATGGCTGTCAAACAGAACAGGAACAACCACCTTCTCCCTACCTTGCTTTCCACAGAAGAGCTTGTCTGCTTTCTGTAAGTTACCCAGCTGCTCTTTGTCACAAAACTATCAGGACTTTAATATCCTTGAGTCTCCCACCACTGCCAAAGTTAACTGAAATCGTCTGCAGTGTTGAAAAGCTTGAGGTGGTGGCGGTGGGCTTTTTGTTTTGTGTGAGAAAAGGTGAGGGAGATGGAGAGCACCGGGCTGCAACCAGCTCAGTGTGCTTCTGAGAAAGCAGGGTAGCCGTCTTGAAATTTTTTTAGCTGTACTATCTTTATCTGACCCAGATAAAAGGAAGAGCTCCCTAAACACTGCTGGGACAAAATGCAGCAGTCGCAGGGTCGTTGTTGTCTTCCAAAGGTGCTGTGCTGTCTTTGAAAGTCAAAGTGCACGGAGACCCCAAAGCACCACTGCAACTCGTGTGAAGATTCCAATCTGATACAAGCAGTTACAGTGCACGGGTGACTGAGCAAAGTGTGACAAGATGGCATGCTGGGACCTTTCAAATCTGAGGCATTTGGTATCACTACTGTTGCTTCCAGTGCAAGCTTTCCCTGTGTACTTAAGGTTTAAAGTTAAGGTAGCAATGCCAGTAATCTGCTCTAAAGCTACACTTGTAGCTGTGAAAGCATTCTGCCTGTGCTCTAATTCATTCTGTAGTGAGCACGTTCTCCTTTTCTCATTCCCTGGGAATTGGACATCACAATATGTCAACCCAAAAGACCTGAAACGTACTGGACCTTCTTTTTCCCATTGCATCCCCAGGCATAGAGGGAACAAACGCTGCTGGTTCATTACTTTAATTACAATATGTGGGATGTTTTACAGAGAACAAAGTCATATTAAAACCCTGAGAAAAAAAAAAAAACAAAAAAAAACAAACAAAAAAACACCCTTGGTATTGCAGCTGAAACATTTGAATGTAGACATGTGCATGAGTACAAACCTAATGAGTGATGCTGCGATCTAAACTTGATGTTGATTCTATGCATTCAAGCTTAAAAGTAGGAGGGGGGTCATGCATTTTAAAAAGCAATTACAATACTACCTTGATCTGCATTAACAGTGAATGAATGTTTGTGTCCAGGTCCAACGAAGCTGGTGGTCCTCGTGTTCCTCAGGAGTGTAAACTATTGTGGCTAAAATGGTAAGTGAATTATTCTACTTCTTATACAAGTGAAGGACTGAAGAGTAGCAATGCACTAAATAACAGTATAGTATAAATAACACTAAAGTGAGGAATTGTTTGTATCATTTGATCATTCTGATTCTCTAAGGAATTCTCTAAGCATTCTAAGATCAGTCTCAGAAAACTTCACATTTCTGTACGTTGAATCTTTCTGCAGAGACCTGGTGAATGTTGACAGTGGTACTGAAATCATTCAGCATACATCATTCCACCACATTTCCCTGGATTTGTTTTTCTAATACTCTATTAATAAGATGTGAATATATATTTTCATTGATTCCATTTTCTTTCTAACGTATTGCTTCTTTATAACAATGAAAAGTTTTTAGTCCTTATTTTCATTTAAGGACTGTTTGGATTCGTTGCAGCACGTTCCCTTGAAGTGTCCTCCCACTGGACAGAGAGGGTAGGACTTCAAAGGAGATATTTATTTTAAATCCACACTACCTGCTTATTGGGAACCTGTTAGTCAGACAGGTTAAGTAGCCTTACCCGAGGTCAGTATTTAGATGGGAGCTTACCCAGGCACTTGGAAGTGCAACGGTTTTGAGGTTTTTGTACACAAGTCCTGTCTTTCTTCTATATAAACGATGCCTTCTTTGGGTATGGAAAGATCCCACTGCTTAGGGCCCCACAGCATCAGTGAGACGCAAACCTGGCATTTTAAATGTGTGTCATCTTTGGTTTGTTTCCAAGGGGAAGAGTGGTCAGACCAAAATCCAATTAAAACTGAATTCCTGTGCAGTTTTAGCGAGGTGAATTCTTCAGATTGCAGCCTCATTTGCTAGAGCACGTTGTGTGTTATCACTGATTTGGTTCAGCTCATATTCGCGTGTGTTTTAATGATGAGCAAGTATATACCTGTTCTCTGTTACAAAGTTATTCGTGATGTTATGCATGTGCTTTAGGTGTTTGAATGGAAGCTTAACCAAGTTGCAGCCTAGGAAGAAATTAGCTGGATGTGGGAATTCAAAGCTGCAGCTGATGGTAATTTGCCCTCACAACAGCTGATGTAATTTGGAGCTGTCCTTAAACCAGCCCCATCCCTGCCGATGCTGTGGCACAGCATCCTGCTGGCTGGCTGAAGGAAGTTTTAAACACTGTTTTGTGACAGATCTGAATCAGGGTGCTGCATATCAGCATGGTTATTGGGATGCTTACTGTAAAAACATGTTGGTTTGATTTTTCAAGATGATATTGGAGGGGAAAAAATAGAAAAATTGGCTCAGCTGAAGTCGGTCCACACAAACTCATGGGACGTTAGAAACAGGTCCAGAACAGGAAATGCCTGGATCACAAAAGAATATAAAAGGTTTAAAAAGTGACTGGCAAGAAAATGTTAATTGTTGCAGAGGACAAAGCTGAGAGGTCCTGGAGAAGATTCTATAAAGCAAACCTGTCCCACTTACTGTTAAAAGATGGTAATCTCTCTGTAACGCTGTTTTAGCACTTCTTTTCCCCCATGTTCTGCATTTGTATTATCAAATTAAGGAGTGATTTTCTTACCTCACCACAGGGCCTGAACAGAAGTACAGTGGGCATTCAAACCAAGAGAAACCTGCTAGGTAACCATGCTAGGAGCCCAATGCCCACCATGCTGTAGCAATGGCTTAATCTGAAAGCAAAGGCAGAGTTTTATCCTTCCAGAGACCAACCATGATGCTTGAAATCTGGGGGTTGTGTTTTAGCCTAATGAGGGACGGAAATCCAACTATCCCTGCAATTCTAACTCCATGTTTTTTAATTGCTAGCTGAGACTAAATGCTATTCCTGTTTGAACCCACTACGATTTGTTCCATCGCAATGATGTTCCCAGTCTATGATATGCTGTGATATCTTCTGAGTACGATTAAGCAGGTCACAGTGGACAGAGAAAATGCAGCTAGTACATACAACCATTATCAGTGCTATTGCAGAAATTCAGAAGCAGACTAACTGCTTCTCTTTAATGTACTGAATGGTTTTCTTCCTAAGTTTGCGATACAAAATCATCTCATGAAAACTAAGTCTGTAAATTAACTTACTGAATATCTGCAAAGTACGCCTACTTGCTGACAATCTTCATACAAGAATAACAAAATATTTTTCTAAGAGCTAAACCAAAGCGTGTTTTGCAGTGTATGTCCAAAACTGGAGAGCTGTGTTTTCCTCTCCCTTGTTAATTGACTTGCTCGGGGTATCTGGAACTCCCTTCCTGTTTCCCTCCAAGACCTTTAGTCACTTCCTTTCTCTAAATAAAAATCCCTTTCGTTTCTCTTTAACTGATGATGGATTCACTTTGAAGCATTCTGATAACATCATCTGAATTCTACATAGATTTTCCTTTTCGTAGACGACCAAAAATGACTCTGGCTGAAGACGTTCAAGTTGGTTTCACTGCTGTGTCTGTACTCAGAACTTACAAAGTATTAAAAATAGCTATAGGTAAGGGAATCATGTCATAAATCCCAAACCACGTTAACTGCTGGCACAGTGAGGAAGAATTGCTGCTAATGGAGCTGCAGCACTGCTTCTGGGCTGTGGTCCTCCATGTTGGGACACAGCACTTCCAGCAGAGCAAGACTCTGGTTGGGGGATAACAGAATTATGGGTGAACCACAGTCCTCCAAAGAACATAAGGGTTGGCTAAGATCATCTAGTCTAACCACCAACCCAGCACCACCGCGCCACTAAAGCCAAATATGACAGCCAAAAGGGCTGGCTTGGAAACGTACGTGAATTGTTTGTCAACAAGAAAATCTTAAGAGAGAGAAAAAATAATGAAGAGAACAGAGTCTAAAGACTTTACAAGTCTTCAGCTACGTTCGCATTCACTGCTGGAGGATTTTGTATCCCCGTAGGATAACAGTTGTCTTTGTGAAAATACTTTCTGTGGTCCTTCTAGGCGTGCCTGCAAGAGGAAGGGAATGCCCGGGTCCTCGTGCCGCTTGCGCGAGCCTCCTCCAGCACAACGCGAGGCCGGGCCAGGTGCAGGCTGCCCGGAGGAGGCGGGGGGGCGAGGCATCGCCTCAAGGCCCAGGCCCGCATCACAGCCTGCAGCAGGCCGGGCTCGGGCACAAAAACCGGCCGAGCCAACCGGTTCGGGTAGCAACGGGACCGCCGGGCCCGTCTGCGTGGCTGCTGCAGCGTCACGGGGGATGAACAAGTTGGTGCGCTCCCAAAATGTCTCCTCCCTGGATGGACGCCGTGATTCCAGCAGGCTTTATTGCTCCCTAGCCACGCCAGGCTCTTCGCGCGCCGTTCCGACTGCCATCTCGTGCCCCGCCCCCACCTCCTCGAAGGCAGGGGCTGACCGCCGCCGCCCGCGCTCCCTAGGGGGATGCTTCCGCCCGCGGACCGCCGCAGCGCCGTAAGGAGCGGCCCCTCCGCACTGCGGAGCTCCGCATCACGCCCGGCGGGTGAGAAAGCACGTCACAGCCGCAGGAGCCCGGCGTCCGCTGCCCGCCGCGAGCTCCGTGCCGTGCCGTGCATTGCCGCGCCCCGCGCCTCGCCACGGCCCATCGGGGCAGCGCGGATTCCGGACCGCGCCCCGCGCAGAACTTCACCCGACTTCGCCATCCCGCCCCGCCTTCACGCTGCATATTCATGAGGCGGCCGCACCTGATTGGCGGAACCGCGCCCCCGCTGCGTCCCATTGGCCCGCGCGGCCGCCGTTCACCGGGCCCCGCCTTCTTCCCCCGGCCGTGACTCACCAGGGCGTGGAACCGGTCCCGCAGCGCAGCCCGCGCTCTCCCCCCGCAGCCGGCAGAGGCGCAGCCCCGGCGCCGCGCTCATTGTTCCGCCCGCTCCAGGCACCATGGACGAGCTGGACCAGTCACCCCTGGTCTCCTCCTCCTCCTCTGGGCCCCCGCGGCCGCAGCAGCCCCAGTTTAACTACCAGTTCGTGCTGGACGACGAGAAGGAGGAGGACGAGGAGGAGGAAGAAGAAGAAGAAGACGAGGACTTCGACGAGCAGCTGGAGGTGATGGAGAGGAAGCCCGTGGCGGCCCCTCAAGAGCGGCCCTCGCCGCCTCAGGACCTCGGCAGCCCCGCCGAGCCGCCCCGCCCCGCCGCGCCCGAGCCCGCGCCCGAGCCGCCGCAGCCCGCGCGTTGCCCGCCGCAGCCCGCCGTCTCCTCCTCCTCGTCCGCCGCCAGCACGCCATCCCCCGGCCCCGAGCGGCCCCAGCAGGAGCCTCGCAGAAGAGGGTCCTCCTCCGGCTCGGCGGGTGAGTGCCTCTCTGCGCCTTTGTCTGCCGCCGCACCGCGCCCTCCCTCCGCAGCTTTTGCGGGAAAACGCCTTTCCCCTTCCCCTTTTTAATTCTTGTTATTATTGTTATTTTTAATTTTTTTATACTCGCGAACCAGTCGCTTTCCGCTCCCCTCTTTCTTATACTGCTGGCGGAGGGAGGGGCGGCGGCCGCCTCGCACATGGCCGCCCGGGGGCGAACCCGCCGCCGCTTGGCAACGGCCGCGCTGCGGGGCGGGAGCGGGGCCGGGGAGCGGGGCGGGCGGCGGCGGCGGCGCGGCGGGCGCTGACGTTACTCACGGGGAGGGAGGGAGGCGCCGCGCTGCGGGGGGGGCGGGCGGCGGCCTCCGGAACAATAAACGTTGGCAAACCGAGGGCCTCGCGTCGCGATGCTGCCTCGTGTCGTAGCTGCCGTTGTGCCTCGCGTGCGCGATGGCATCTGCAGGAGTCGCATAGCTGCCGGTGAACGCGGCGTTCGAGGGCGACTGCCCCAAATCCGCGTTCAACCGGAGCGATAACGTACGAGAGGTTTAACGCGCGTTCTGTTGGCGCCCGTGACAGGGCTTTGTGGTTCTTGCCTTCCGTGAGGCCCCTCTGACTGAGCCGCGTGTGCGGCGGTGCGCTGGGGAGATGCGCATGGCTGCTGTGGGGCCGCAGGTAAGGACAAAAGCACGGGTTGGGTCAGAGCAGCAGTGCGAGCTGTGCAAACTCCAGTGCTGCACCCAGTGCTGGGCCCTCGCTGCAGGAAAGACACCGAGGGCTGCAGCGTGTCCAGAGAAGGGCAGCGGGGCTGTGAGGGGTCTGGAGCTCAAGTGTGATGGGGAGCGGCTGAGGAACCGGGGCTGTTCGGTCTGGAGGCTCAGGGCAGACCTATGGCTCTGCAACGACCCGAAAGGAGGCTGTGTGAGGCGGGGTCGGCCTCTGCTGGCAGGGAACGGCCATAGGACGAGAGGGGATGGCCTCACGTTGTGCCAGGGGAGGTTCGGGTTGGCTGCTAGGAACAATTCCTTCTGCAGAAGTGATTCTGCACTGACACAGCTGCCCAGGGAGCGCTGGGGTCACCTGGAGTGTCCCAGAATCATGGGATGTGGCACTGAGGGACGTGGGCAGCGGGCACAGTGGGCTGTGCTGTGCTTGGACTGGATGATCTTGGTGCTCATTTCCAACCTTAATGAGTCAATCAAACCATAGAATAGCCAGTTGGAAGAGACCTGTGAAGTTCATCAAGTCCAACTTCATGTTGTTCCTTGGAAAACAGGGATAAAAGTGTCATTTCTGGGGCTGCTTTAGCATTTTTACTCCTTGACCCCAGAAGGACGAGGAGCGTGTTCATACCTGAAGTGTTTCTCCTTTGTTAAAGCAGAGGAGAGAGAACCCCGTGAGAGCTGGGTGCTGTAGCTGAGAAGTGGTGCCAGACTTATTTTACGAGACCTACTTGTGGGGGAACAGGATCTATCACTGATGATGAGCTCAGTTTCTGAAGCAAGGACTGGCATCCTTAGCAGGCCTGCTTTCCAGAGGCTGTACTGTATCTGTGTGACAGGTACAGTACTCATCTAATGATGAGTTGGAACACAGGTTATGTTTTAAGCACTGGAATCCAGATGTGAGCACATCATTTTGATAAAAGCACTGTCTGGACATGTTATGTGAGTGCTTTGGTCCTCCCCAGTGTGGGAGTGCTTTGTTTCAGCAATAGCCACCCGACATAAAACCAAAAACCACCTGCTGTCTGAATGGATATCAACTCTTGATGATTTAACTTCAAATGAGTTCACTCCCAGTCTTGCTGTGAAACTGGCAAAATCAAATGATGCCTGCAGCTGGTGGCAGGGTGCCTGTGGAATGATAGCCACAGCCCGTGATGGCCGCCGCTCTTCTGGAAGGTTATGGCTTCATTCCCTGTCAGCTCTGCCTAAGGTGTAAGTGAAAGATTGTGGTTCATAATCGATAATTTAGAAAGACTCAATTCTCTTCGTATTTAACATCTAAGGCTTTGATCAGTGATGGTTTGGGATGAATAGCTTTGAAGTCTTATTTGGAAGGAGTAGTGCCTATGGTAAGTGTGTGAAGAATAGTAGGGTTTCCTCTATCACCAGCAACTGTGGGCTCTGGTGCTGCTTTTTGTCAGTAAAACAATGGAGAAAAATGCAGACAACTTCTTGGCCCAGTAAAAGGTATTATTTATATCTGGAGGAGCTTTAAAAAGCAAAGCTTTGTAATTAGTATCAGTTACATGCTTAGAAGTATTCCGTACCATTCTTGCAAGAGGTTGTGACATAATTATATGTAATGCAAGTCGCTGGCAAGGCTCTCCCTTCCTAAGAGCGAATATAAATATTTGTAGAAGAAGAAAACAAGAAAAAGGGCTCCAGTAAAACTTAAGCTGCCTTGGATACCTTTTTTTTTTTTTTTCTTTTTCTTCTCCTGTTCACTGTTATGCGAGTAGCAAAAACTACTGTTCTTGAAAAATTTAAGAAGTAGTCTTGATTTCTTAAATTTACATACAGTGGGGGGAGAAAGGGGGGAAGAAAAAAGGCAAACGTTAGGTGGTCATCCCTGGTAACACTGATGTGTTGTGGTTTTGTTTTTTAATTTCTTTTTTTCCCCCCTCTCCTAGCTGTTCCAGTTAAGAGTAACCGATAAATTATGACAAGGAGATGCCACCTTTCATCTTCACAGCCCTAGATGGTATCAGCACAGGCTGCTGCTTGTAACTGCAGGCTGTGTATCGCCTTGCTGGAAGGCAGAGCTGCAGTACAACGTTTAACCCTACACTTAATGGGAAACCCTTGTGCTGTCCAAGCAGGCTGGTCACGTGGAATGGCAGGCCAGTAGCCTGAGTGAGCAATAGATGACGGCTCCTTGTGGCTCAGCAGCCTGCAATCCAGCCATGGTTCAGTGCGCATGCAAATGTTCTGAAGTGCCAGTTTATTAGTCTTGTTTTTAATTAATTTTGTAGGGCTTGCTTTTAATTCATAGGCGTTCAGGAGAGTTTTCATACAAGCTCTGCCCGTATGCAGGGCTGTGTCAGGTGGAGGTCAGCAGGGATGCTGTCTGTAGCCTCCAGCTAGAAGCAGTGCACACACTGTTCTGTGTTAGTGCTCACCCTCACCAACCTGAGCCTAGCTGCAGCAGAAGGCAGTTAAATGCAGTGGGCTGCACCTGCTTCTACTGGCTGTGTACATTTTATCCTGCAGCAGAAATATTCTGGAGTCTGTGGCTTGCATTTTGTACCTGTTGTAAAGCAACACATATGCTTTTTGTGTTGTTTTTTTTCTGTGTCGATGACTTTTTCTGGTATGCTGTTGTGAACGCATAGGATCATGCAGAGGAGCTGTTTGGGTTTTATGGAGAGAATGCAGCATGACATGGAAAAAGCGCAGCTGTCCTTGAATACTGCCACAGGTGACTTTCACTGCATCCTTCAGTTATTAAAATCCATTCCTGCTGATCTTCGGTGTTTCGTTGGAGGATGGGGTCCTGTCCTTTCCACCCTCCCAAACAGCAGTAGAACTATAATGGAGGTGGCCATAACCTGTGTAAATTAAAGGTAGAATGTGGCTTTCTCCTGTTAGTCATTCTGTTGTAGAGGCACATAGAGGAGAGTAGCCAACAATTCGCCTGGTGCAGTAAAGCTCGTGTTTTCATTTTTGTATTTCACCTTCCCCATCTAAGTGAGTTCAGTGGGGGATCTCACTGTGCCAGGCACTGCACCATGCACAGTGGGACCTGCTCCTGTGGTTCAGCTGCTGCAAGAGATTCTAAAGCC